CTATGGGAGAGGTTCTGAAGCAGTGTTCTTCAGCTTTGGTGACCTGCACTCTCGCGGATTCTCTGCAAAAAGCACACGAACAAGTAGATGATCCAGATTAGGATCAGGAGCCCTAAGGATCAGTAGTAACATTCTTGTAGACCTCGACATGTTTGGGTTCATTTAAGGAGCGCTTCGGCCCTGGCCGAGCCAGTGGTCTCAGCAGCGCAGGAGGAAAGGTGGTGCAGCCTGTGCGTCAAGCCTGCAACCCAGAGACTCCAATATTCCTTAATTAAGGAATATACCTTAAGTCTCATTAGGGTTCCTATAATATATTTCAGGTATATTCCTTAATTTAAGGGACATTGGAGTCTCTGGGAGGAGATTCGGCATGTGTGTGTGGCTTCCTCATCATATGCAGAGGTTCACCCCCTTGGAAGGAAGGGAGTCAAGGGAGTCTCGGTCAAGGAAGACGGGATGGTGGGGCATCATCCCATTCATCCTTCATGTCAATTCTCGGGTTTGGTGCAACTGCCCAATGTGTGGTGGCGCATGTTTTCCATCATCTGGTTCTCATGTCATAATCAGCAAAAACATGGAGCAAGCCATCGTGGAGTTGCTGCTTGAGCGTCGCTGTGTGAGGAGTCGTAGAGGTTCCTACTGAGGTAATCAACAGACAGAATGCTCAGCTTTGCAATCCAACATCATGTACTATGTCATGTACAATTTTTGCATTATACACCCTAAACCCCAAAATGGGATCGGTGTACATGGCATGTTTTGCAGGAGTTTATGGAAGATTTCTTCCAACAGCATGCGACGATCCCGGCAGAAATGCTGGGTGATGCTATGCATCTTCTGAACATGAACCCCACTGCAGATGAGGCCTTTTCCGCAATTTGCGGCGCCGGGGGCCAGTTCTAAATAAGTGCTGGTAGCAATGTGATGATGCAGTACGAGTGCATGTTAGGTAGAAGCAAGTTTGGAGATTCGAATCTTGTTTGGATACCTTAGGTTGACGGTTGACATGCCAGCAAACTTGGGTTTGTCGTAAGTCACCATGTTCCCCATAGAGGTTCCTGCAACTGCAGTGTTGTTCGCAGCTTGTTTGCAGCATTGCGTTGACATGCAAACATATAGGTTCTATCTTCAACACCCCACCCTCTCCACATCCTGCGCTCTATTCAAGCCTGCGCCTGAAGCCCTAGGATTGCACAGGCCATACAGTCTCAGCCATCCCATGCGGCTGTGTAGGGATTGAAATGTTGGACCAATGCCTGGTCATTCGGCGGCCCCAGGTGCAAGGTTGCAGGCCATTAAGGGTCAAGCGGCTCGTCACTCCCTTGTGTCCCTTGTTGTTCAGATCACACGAGTCTCGTCCGCGCGATCATGCACTGTATTCTGAGTGCCCCGCCCCCGCCTCCTCCTCCTCCGTTTTCTTCCGTCTCTGGCTTGTTGTTTACTACATCGGTCAACCCATCGCGAGCCCCCAGCAACGAAGTACAAAGTCCAGCAATGTAGCCCCAAAGCCAAATTCTGGACCCTGAAACCCGAAGACCCTGAACCCCACAAGTCTGCAGCCCTGAACCCGGAACCTGAAAAACCGTAAATCCCCAGGCCCCAAACCAGCGGGGGGATGGGTTTCACACACATCCGATGCGGCCTGCAGATGCCCAAAACGTCACTTTTGGGCGCGTCTTGCTGAAAACCTTAAAATGCTCAACCCTACAGCCTTAAGCCCGAACTTGAGACCCCAAAACAGACAAGGTACTAAACCCAAAAAGCCCGGTGTGCAAAGCACTGCATCCTAATCCATGGCAGCAGCACTCATGATGATGCTAGTAATGGCAATACAATGCAGATAGTAGCGGTAGGTAGTTATGATTATCGTCTGAACGATATAGTGATAGCAATAGATAATAACAATAGCCATAGAAGTTAGATAGCAATAATGGTATTGGGTCGTGGTAGCAGTACAAAAAAGGGAGAATATAGGAAGCGATAACAGTAGCAACAGGAGTGTCCATGCAAAGCAACAATGAGAGCAAAAGTCATAAACAAAACCTGCTTAACAACCTCCAAACCTTCAGCCTTCCCTAAACCCTAAAACCCTAAACCCCCTAAACCCCTGAAACCCTAAACCCCTAAAACCCTAAACCCCTCAACCCCAAACCTTAAACCCCTAAACCCTAAAACCCTAAAGCCCTAAACCCTAAAACCTAAAGTAACTGGGCAGGTGACGGAACGCCTGGCCAGTTGTGGCAGCCCGGCGACCCTGAGCTTGCCGGCATTCCGAAGTTTGCTGCAGGACATTTGGGTTTAGGGTTTAGGGGTTTAGGGTTTAAGGTTTTAGGGTTTAGGGGTTTAGGGTTTAAGGGTTTAGGGTTTTAGGGTTTAGGGTTTAAGGTTCAGGGTTTGGGGTTTTGGGCTTAGGGGTTTAGGGTTTAGGGTTCAGGGTTTTAGGTCTCAGACTCGGGATCATTCTTCGGGTTTAGGGTTTAGGGAGGTGAACTACGGTTTGGGGGTTTAGTTGCGTTTGGGGTTGCTTATTCACAGACGTGTAGTATTGTGGGATTCCGTCTACGGATCGTGCCATCCAGGGTTTCCATGAAGCTCTGTATTAGAGCAGGAGGGGAGCGATGCAGGCATGAATGGGAATTGTGAGGCTTTGGTGTCATAGGCTTCCCAGAGACGCCACTATCCCTTAATTAAGGAATATACCCTTTAAATTATAATAGGAACGCTAAGAAGATTTAAGGCATATTCCTTAATTAAGGAATATTGGAGTCATAGGCTTTGTGGAACATGGTGCTGGGGCTTTGGGGATTGCACGGTTTAGTTTGGCGGCTAGCCCTGAGGATGCCGTATCAGCAGAGAACGACGGTTGATGACATACATCCTGCAATACCCATAGTAAGGAATATACCACAATTCCCATAGTTTAGGGTCGTTAAGGTAATGCAGGATTTATATCATCAACAGTAGGCCCTAAACCCCTAAACCTTATGCCCAGAGATCTCGGAAATCTGCTAGGAGGCAATCCGTGACTGGAGCTCCGGCGAGGTGCACATGAGTGGGATAAGGCTTCAGGAATTCTGGGGGCGAAGTTTCTCGATGATGAGTTTTCGGGGTGTGGGGACTATAGGACTGAGCAATGCTGAGCACATACTTGTCGAAGTTCTCTGGAGTGTAACCGGTTTTGACGGGAGCGTGTTGCCATTGCGTCGGCAAGCAAGCTTAGTCTATTTGTTGCGAGTGCTTTCCCAACCGGCTCATGCACACATCCTATGGGCATCGGAATGGTCAGTCTGTTACAACTCCGCACCAGGTTCATTAAGCAGGTGAGAATGCAGTGAGGAGGAGTACCGCAATGGCGATCCTGAAGGTGATGGGCGATGGCCATGATGATGGTGCTCGGAGTGACGTTGACATTGGTGACCCAAGCGAGGCACATATTGCCGCTATGTCCAAAAGAACTACAAAAAAAAACATAGCCAAACATCGTGTCAGATGCAGCGGCGACAGAAACTCTGCCAGTCTCCCATGGCGACAAATCAGTCTTGAGAGGCTGTACGTGTACGCAACCCTGCACCTTCCTTCTAATAATGGCAGGCACAGCCCGAAGTTCGAAAATGCTAAGTGGACAAGCGCTTGAAGCTGATTAAGGTGCATCCAGCTCGTAGGTCGTGTCTTTGCATGTCTCTGCCAGGCAGCTTCACTGGACGCTGTGGTTGCATTGAGGGGAGAGATTACTTGGGCCACAGGGGATGTCCATGTCCTGTGCAGACATAGCCTAAGCCTTAGCAAAGTTCCGAGTTGCAGACAAGGAGAAGTAGCAGCTGAGCCTAGCTAAGCATGTGTGTTCTGTTTGATTGCATGGATCGGGGAAGGATGGTCCGCACGCCAGGATGAGTCCCGCTGACGCCTCCAATGGCAGAAGGCCGCTCAGAGCTTCACAATCCGTCGTTCCTCTCGACGATCGAAGACTTTGCAAATCTTTGCGACATCGTCCTGCCTCCAGGTGTGGTAGCGTCGAGTTATGGCAGGTTCCAAAGGTCGCAACACTGCAGCATCCTCATGTCTTGACTTCTTGACACTTGTGCCAGTAAGCCGATTCTGTGCAGTCGCTGATATGCTGGACCTGCCCGACACGCTCGAAATTCGAGCGTTTTCCAGAAGTGCGCCCGGCATCATGATATGCAGCATCGCGGAGTGGGATGTGAAGGCAAGAACGCTGTGCCAGGTACGTCAGGTGTGCTGCGGGAACGCGGCATTCCACATCGATTTCTTGGCTTGGTTTAAACCTCCAACAGCCGTGAAACAGATCGGCTGCGCGCAAAGCCAACGATGGAAAACGGCCGTACCTCCATATGGGTAGTTCTCTAAATTAGGGTCCCCTTTTTGGAACCTGAAGAGAAGGCGGCACCCTTATTGAAAGTACCCTGAAAGGGACCCTAATTTAGTGAACTACCCATACAGTTCGCATGAGCACGGCCTACGTGAGGGATTCTAAACCCTAAACCCTACATGAGGGATTGGGCTGCCATGGGGAAGTCTAAATGCCTCGCAGGTGGCCCGGCTTATTGAGAATGCCCGCATCGACACAGAAAACAAGGTGCCCTTTTCCGAGCGACTTCGAGACTTTTTACAATTAATACAATATATTACTATAGATTGCTGTGTGTATATATATACATACATACACACATATGTGTGCGTGTGTTGCTATATTTTTTATTTCTGTATATATGTAGGCACATTATATATATATATATGCGTTGTTTGTGTATTGGCTTCAGAGATGTTGAACTTGAGGGTCTTCGTCTTCTTGGCATAACTGGCTGCTGATGATTGTCATGCCTTGCTGCTTCTTTGCCTCGAACTCTAGCATTGACATTGACTGAAGAGCAAGCCTCCGCGCAGAGATGGAAGAACGAGGGTGCCATGAGAGTCGAGAGTTCAAGGGGCGACAAGAGCCCGAGAGAAACAGAACTCGCACGAAAGAAAGCGGTTTACTGCAGATGTCACAGCCAAAGCCTGCTGATGGCATGCTTCAAGTGCGTTTGCTGACTGGCGACCTGGTGCTTCAAGTGGCCGCAGCTTGGCATGCACCGCACTTGCAGGTCGAAGCTCGAATGTCTCATGCCATCGTTTCCTGCTGTGTCAATCTTCCCTGTCCCACAGGATCCGTGGCCTGTTGAAGAACATGCAGGAGCGAAGCTGCATGTGCAAAGGCAACAACTCTGCTCAAGATTCTCAGCCGGCACGCAGGAGTTGTCAGCATGATCAAGAAGCTCATCCGGGACAAGATAGCGATTTCCACATTTCGCCAGCAGTTGGTGTGCGATAGCAGCATTGTGTCGGATGACACCTCGTGGACATCCTTAGGGAAGCCTCTGCACTTAAACCTCGTCGTCATACAGCAAGAGACAACCAACGAGCATCAGAAGTTAATGCTCCAGGCTGCTGTTAACGGTGACCTCGATATGATGTTGCCAGCCATTCGTAGTGGACAAGACCCGGATAGTGTGGACCGCTTTTGCCGCTCTGCAGCGTGGCATGCCGCAGCAGCAGCTCGGCAGTGCACCAAGGCATTTTGTGACAACGTTTTTAGTTGGGATAGTCCACATGTTCGCACAGTCTTGCAAACTGGTGATCTTCACAACAAGGAAGGGCATGTACATGTCCTGGATGTCCTTTACGATGCTTGCGCGAATATCGAATTGGGCGGTCTCCACGATGAGACTCCCCTACATTCCGCATCCATGGCAGGACATGCAGATGTCGTGCAGTTCTTGCTATCTAAGCGGGCGGGCATCGATAGGAGGAGCCGGGACGGTCGTAGCGCTCTCTATGTTGCCGTCGAGCATCAACGGCTGGAAGTGGTCGACTGCCTGTTGAGATCTGCAGCAGATGTGAACACCCGGCGAGATCGTGAAAGGACGGCTTTGATGTGTGCAGTCGAAGCAGGTCACCTGGGAATTGCAGATTTGCTCCTTTCTAGTGACGCGGATCCGCAGCTCCTCTTCAGTGGTTGGACGGCCTTGAGCTTCGCTGCCCAACGGGGGCACCTGGAGCTAGTCCGGCGGCTGCTTGACGGTAGTGTGCGCCCAGATGCCGGCACGCACGACCGATGGTCACCGCTGTTCCTGGCTGTAAGCACTGGACACTCTGACGTCGCGAGATTATTGATTGAAAGGAGTGCAGATTTAGACAGGCAGGACGATGATGGATGGACCCCGCTTCTTCTGGCGGCTGGTGAAGGCGACTATGAGCTGGTGGAACTCCTGGTGAACGCGACAGCAAACCCGCATCATGCGAGCGACAGCGGCGTGACCCCATTGAGCTTGGCAGCTCAGAGAAACCACCCACGGGTTCGCAGGTTTCTGGCGGATGCCACACTGCCTCGGGAGGGCGAAGTGCCCATGGAACTTGAACGGCGTGATTCGGATATTTCTGATGACCGGACCTCTAGTGATTCTGCAACTGATACACAGTGCAAAAAAGAGCCCCAGTTGAGGGGCGCATACTGTAGACTTACCCCATCTTGCCATGTGCACCATCTCATGCCAGCTGAGTAAAATCCAGGAAGGTCCTCTTTCTCGAGCCGAGCCTGGGACGTGTCAGGTAAAGATGGAACTCAAGCAGATCCGTCGCCAACTCAGCATGGAAATACCCCGAACAGCCCGGCTTGAGCTGCCTGCATCCGCCTGCTCTATATCCTGCTCTGTCTTCCACTCCGCTTGATTATTTTTCTTCTATTATTACAATATTATGGGCCTGCACCCAACCCAAACCCTATAGACCCTAAACCCGAAACAGCTAGGGCCTGGACCAACGTGAGGCCAGACGATGATGGCAATGGACGAACGTCTGGATCAGCTTCTGGCACACTTGGATGGCCCGGGTCCTTGGCTGCTGAGATTTCTGACCTCAGACCGGCTCGGAAGGTGCAGAGATATCACATTATGTTGTTGCGCGCAGTATGCTAGGTTTTTTTCCGTTTATACTACATTAAACTCTAGTACATCATGTACATCATAGTAGATTATATAGTCTTTACTTTTGTATTATACTATATTATAGTGTATTATATGATGTTATGTCATACTATTTCATGTTATCTTCTATTCTCTTATTTTAACTTATATTATACTATATCAAGAATGTGAATTGCAGTGTTGTGCATTGTGTTCTATTCCGTTCCGGTAGATCGGCTTTTTGAAGCTATAGTTAACCGCTGTAATATATTTTTTAATACTCTAGTGTCCTACATTATGTAACGATGAAACCAGCACAGAAGAGAGGCGCAAGACCTTCAGCGTTTGGCAACGATCCTATAACGGGTCATCCGTAAACTCCAAAACCTCAGAGCCATCCACCCTGAAGCACTAAATCCTTAAACCCCTAAACCCGACACCCTCTAAAACCAAAAACCCAAAAAAAACCCTAAACCCCTAAACCCTAAGCCCAAACCCATTTCCGGTGTCTTCCTGAGGCCTGCAAACTCCAGAATCGTCGGAGCCAGCTCTCTCGGCCGAGGCCGGCGCTGGAGATGAGATCGGCAAAGCTGCCTCCCTTTTAAGTCCCCAATATAGTACGGCACCCTATAGGGTTTAGGGGTTTAGGGATTTTAGGGGGTTTAGGGGTTTAGGGTTGTAGATGTGAAAATACAGCGGTGCATTTATCGTCTATTCAAAAATGGTGTGTGAAATATGTAGTACCCGCAGTGAGTATGAAGTACATACACGAATCTGCATACATACATGCCTACCGACATACGTACATACATACATACATACATACCTATATATGTATATATATATATATGTATATGCGTATACCGTCCTACATACTGTTTAGATCGTGTGTTTTTGCCGATATATGTTGAGAGAGAGGGAGAGAGTGTGTGTGTGTGTGTCTGTGTGTCTGTGTGTCTGTGTGTGTGTGTGTGTGCGAGTGCGTGCGTGCCTGTGTGTGTAGCATCCTTTTCCCAATGTAGGCGGACATGCATATCATCTCTTGTAGGTGACAGTAAGCCGTCCAGTTCAATACTTGTAGCGTTGTACTTTGCTGTAGGTTGTATAGGTTGGACGGGCGACGTAATTGGCGCAGGTGTCCAATGTTGATACGTCCCAGCAGCACCAGTGCTTGTAATGAGCTCCTGCCTTCGGGTGATCATCAACTGAAGTTCGCACTTACCTCCGATGCCCCAGAAAATATGGGAGCCCCAAGCGGCCTGGGGACCTAGACAGTCCCTCATGCCCTGACGAAGAAGAAGAGTGTGTATGTCTGGGTGTTCGGGGATGTGCATGTGTGTCCATGTACATATTACATGTATGTAGGGATGTATTCATGGATTTATGCATGTAGATATGTATGCATACATGGAGAATTGAGCCTCTACTTGATGCCGAGGCAGTGGCCCAACTTCTCTCGAAAACCGAGCAGCAGTGGGGCCAGGAGATCAGGCCAGCACCGGGCAAAAAGATTACAATAATCGTCCTAATGTAACTTTTGAATGATCACAAAAGTATTATCACAAAAAGCACTCATAATCTTAACAATGCCAAGAATGTACGAAAATTATGCTAATACACATTCTAATAAAAAATCAACAAATTGAAAACATAAGTTCATATACACCTACATAGACTTGTCGACTGTTGCCCACCGGGGCGCATGCACTCGAAGTTGGTGGCAAGAGCAACAACATGTTAGAGTATACTTACAGCATCTAGTGATAGTCTATTATACATATACATATACATATACATATACATATACATACATATATATATATGCATACAGTTTGCTCTCTTCTCTCAATGTCTCGTGTTGTCGGACCGTTTCGAGGCCAAGTACGGTACAAGTAGGGCGCTGCAGCTAGCAACGTTCTTGCATGCGTTTGTACATCGTTTGTCTCTGTTCTTTTCTTGTCGTCCTAAAACCCTAAACCCGAAGACCCTGAACCCTAAAAACCTAAGACCCCTGAAGCCTAAACCCTGAACCCTAAGAGTGGATGGGGCCTGGACAGGACACTGAAGCAGGACTGCACCAGCCAAGCTGACGCCGTTGCAACATGCGCCGGACTTCTTGTTGACAAGCATTCCGGCACGAAGGATCCGAGAGCGTGTTGCTGCTTGTGTGCTGCATTGCTGTTTCGGCTTACAGACATCTAAGCCAGGCCCGCGAAGAGACTCTCGGTCAGCTTGCCACGGCAGATGAACCCAAAACCCTAAAACCTACAATCCTAAACCCTAGACCCTAAACCCTAATCCAGATCAGCCTAGTCTAAGTACAAATTCCCAAAGACTATGCCTCTTGGGATGAACCGTTCTTGACTGAGAGTCTGCGCAACATGTCTTGCTCTGCAAGACTGTAGACTTGCAGGGCAGTTTCTCTGGAGCTGCCTTTCACTTGGTAGCGCACGTGAATGACAAGGCTGCGCTTGCAATGGGCGTCTTGACATGGGGAACCTAAGAACCACGCAAGTACCGGCATGAAAGCACCAGAGAGGCAGCCCAGCAACTCTTATCCGTCTTATCCTGTATCGAAGTTGCATTTCAGCTAAGGCCCTGATCGGCCTGTGTTGGCTCCTTGCGACAGGCCCGGTCTCAATTCCGTGGCATGCGGGTCCATTCATGTCAGCTCTTACTGGCTGCCAAAGGCTCTTGCAAGCAAAGAACTCTTTTTCTGTGCTGCGATCTCGCCTGAGAGGCTTCACGGATCTCGGAAACGATTCCTGGCTGGATTCATCGGCAGACACTTCCACGCGTTTCCCTAGTCCTCATACAAGCGGCGTGCCAGTAGCATCTCAAAAGCTTTTCCGATGCCATGCTCGTCAATGCCGTTAAGGTTTAAGAAAGAGGTGATTCCCCGTAATAGCCTACCATACCCATGGTACCCGATAGTACCCTATGATAACCTGAGTTGTGCAAGAGGGGTCGGGGTAAGGAAGGTAAGCACAAATGCATCCGTGATTCTGATCTGCTCTGTATAGGTTTCACAGCACGTACAGTGACAAGCTTCGTTGATGTACGTTGATGTCTGGTGGTTCTCAAGCATGAGGTGTCCCGAGAAGGTCATCATCCTCTGATGCGTTTCTTGTCGGCATCATCACGTAGACAGCTGCCTCCACGGAATATGCAGCAAGGATCCAAGCATCGTGGAAACAGAGCAGTTCTGCTTCCTGTCGACGCACAGGGCCACACTGGTGTTCCTCGGCTAAACGACCCATTCAAGAGTCAGCAGTTAGACGACGACGCTTGCTAGCATGATTCTTGTTATTCTTGGTCGTAGGGCTCCAGATCTCCGTGAACACATGTCATTCGCTTGATTCGTGCGGTTCTCACTCATTACAACCTCCCACATTAAAGCAATTTAAAGCACTTTGTCCATGCAGATGGGCCGTAAAAGGGCGAGGACATCCTTGGACGATCTTAAACGTAATAACTTCCTCCTAAACCCGAAACTACCCCAAACCCTAAAACCTGAAAAGGCTTCAGAAGAGGATGCGTATGTCCAGAATTCCTCGCTGTAGCAGGGCGCAACATTTGTTCAGAGTTCGGAAGTTTGAGGCATTTCAACTTGAACTATGTCCGCTCAGTTCATGCTTAAACTATGTCCGCTCAGTTCATGCTACTTGTAGTATTCTTATCTCAGCCACGTAAGAAAACGTTTCAAACTGCTCGCAACGGGCGAACTTGTGCTCATGAGCGTGCTCCGTCCTTTGTCTTAGGATGTCAGAGCAGATCAGGATTGCTCGTTCCAGAGGGCCGTGACGCATGGCCTCAGTGAGTGTCGAGCACAACAAAGTTCCGTTTAGATGGGCGACGGGCATACGGACCACCCGCGTGAACAAGCTTCTGTTGAATTGGTTGTGATATGAGTCTATGGGGCGACTGAGTACAGAAAAAGTACGTCCTGCTCCGTGTTGTTCCATTTCTGGCTAGCATAAGAAATCGGATTCAACAAACGAAAAACAAGCAATCTGGGCCACATCGAAATCCTGGCTAGGCAAAGAATAGACAAGGAAACTAGGGGTTGAGAGAACAGCCGCTACTATAAATAATATATATATATATGTATATATATATGTGTGTGTATGTATGTATGTATGTATGTATGCATGGATGTATGTATGTATGTATGTCGGTCGGTCGGTCGGTCGGTCGGTCGGTCGGTCGGTCGGTCGGTCGGTCGGTCGGTCGGTAGGTAGGTAGGTAGGTAGGTAGGTAGGTAGGTAGGTAGGTAGGTGGGTGTGTGTGTGTATATATATATACACATGTATGTATATATATATATATACACAGATTTGCACATACCTATCTGTATATGTATATATGTAGGTGTGTGTGGTGTGCAAAAAAAGAGGAATACATATACATATGCATATACATATACATACACATACACATACACATACATGCATACATACATACATACATACACTAACCCCGCATCGCGTGAATCATCCAAGGCTCCTGAGATTCGCACTACTGCCGACGACATTGCACGACTGGATCCAACCAAGTGCAACATTTTCACTTTATGGGAGAAGCCGCAACCGAGCCGAACAGTGTAAGACAGTGAGTTACACAGCAGTTTTGCCACTTTTGAGTGAAGAGCATTTGCCCAAAGTTTTGCGTTTAAAGGGCTCACACCTGATGAAGCAGCCTTGCTGTCCAAGGAGCTCGCTCTCAGAGCAGCCCTTATTTCAGCGATTAGCCGCACATCTGCATTCAAACTGCACGAGCTCCCTGTGCATGTCTACGCCGAGCTTCATCCAGACGCAGAGAAAGGTCTAGATTCGCCCAGTCGCCAAGCCAATGCGCACTCTGCTTCGGCATTTTATAAGATTTCGGAAAAAAGCATCCTTTGCTGCAGCAGTTGTTCTATTTGGTCCTGACCTCAACCGTTCCTCTTCAGGTCATCGAAGCATGGCGCCGGCACTCCCATGATCTGTGCAACGACCAGTTCCTCATCACCGATGACAATGTGCGGCAAGTCATTCCAGACATCCCCGAGGACTCCATGGATCTTTGCAAGGAACGGGTCGTAATGGGGGAATGGATCCCTATGATAGTCCCCACTAGCCCTCAAACTCAAACCACAGATCCCTAACGCTATGACCCTAAACCCCAAAAACACTTTAGCCCTAAACCCTATGACCCTACATCCCGAAAACCCCCTTTTTTTACCAGAAACCCTAAAGCCGAGGGAAACAGCATTTTACCCCGAACCTTTCGTTCGCTCCTCTGGGATCCGGGGCTTCCAACCCTTCGGGTTTTAGGGTTTAGTATTTAGGGTTTAGGGTTTAGGGTTCAGTGTGTAGGGCTTAGTATTTGTCAGTGGTATGTGTATATTACATTAGATGATATTGTAGTGGCATTGCGTTAGATTACACTAAAGCATATTGCAGTATGTATCGGATTACTACTACATTCTCTTGCGGGTATATTACTACAACATGTTGCAAAGCCCCAGTTCAAGCAGCAAGCGAAGCCTAGGCCAGATCCAAAACAGCTGTTCCTCACCGAGGATGCGGCCAACCTAATATAGGGGCCTAAATAGTTGCCTATATTATTTTGGGGGGCCCTTATTATAAATGTGGCCCCAAACCCTATTCTAATTATTAAGGCCCCGGTTTATGGCACGGTTGCTGAAAACTCGGGCTGAGGGAGGGCAGGATTGGCTGCCCATGGTGTCGTGTCGTGCCATGTAACTGCACTGTTTACTTCACATGACATTGATGGCTGTGCATGTGGGAGAGGAGTACTTCAAGTTGCCATACCCTGCCGCGAAGTCGGACTTCATTCGATATGCAGCGCCTTGGCAAAGCTACCTTACAGTCGATTCTGCTGTCATGATGGGTCCATGTCGATATCAGCCGTTGTGTTTGGGTTAGTCCAAGATGTTGCCAGTTGCATGTCTAAGGTTCTCTACCACAACGGCGGCATTTATGTTGATTTCGACATGTCGCTTGGCAACCCACAGAATTCTGCAAGGGCAGTTCATGAAGCATGTTCTGAAGCACAGCTGTGGGCAGAGACAAGTACCCGCACCCATTCGCGATGGCTTGTCGCATGTCTAGTGCCGCAAACACCTGGCAAAGCCCCACATCAACAGACCACGGCATTCCTTCTACTTGCACATCCTTGCACACTCACACACAGATGGCTCGCACATGTATATTCTGCCTCCTGTTGTAGTTTGTGTCGATTCAAAGCCGAGGCTTACCGTGAAAGACATCGACGAAATTGCCTGGGACTCATCGGTCCTTATGGCCTGGGATGCAACCAGGCATGGGCACGCGAGCTTTGAGTGCTCGATTTCGAGGTGGAGAAAATTCAGCGACTGGACTTGGTGTCTTACAGCGACGGCTACGGTCCCGAGCATGAGTCTTGCCGAGGACGGTTTAGGGTTTAGGGGAGCTTTTGATCACAGTCTCACCATGAAGCACTGCTGCTTCTGGCAGAGGTTTTGCAGCTGCTTGCCTCTCCGCTTCTGTAATCCGTCTCTCGTACATATGCACAATGGCTGCGTTTCTTCAGAAATGTGTTGATTAAAGGGTTGGATGGAACTAAGGTGTTGAGATTTATGCTGCTTATTGTGGCCATTTTATCAGAGCCTAGGCACCCAAGCATTTATTAATAGTCATTTTGCCTGTTTTCATGTTCCTCTGCGTTTCTCTGTCAGCTGCATTGTTGGTTTGTCCAGTTTGTCCAGTCGTTGCTCGCTCACACTCACAAGCTTTCTGCTTGGTTTTGTCCAGTCGCTTCTCACTCACACTCATGGCCGTGTGTGCGCATGTCTTTGCACATGCGCGGATGACGTAGCAAATGGCTGCGAGATTCAATGGCAGAAGCACATGCACGCATTCAGGGTCCCAGTCGGCCTGGTGATATTTTAGACATATAGATAACATGCATAGATATATTATGTGCATATGCGTAACATACATAGATGTATACATATACAGGAAGTACATTAGACATACACATACCAATACGTGATATACATAGGTATCTACATGTGGGTCACATATATATATATATCCCTACCGATAAGACAAGAGAAGATCATCAATGCAAAAGTGCTTCTGATGCTCGCAGGATTTTCCTCCAACTTCCTCGGAGGCTTGGCAGTAGGGGTTTGGGGTTTAGGGGTTNNAAGGGCAGTGACTTTCATCGAGCGGTCTGGGATGCCCAGAAAGCTGCAGTTCCTTTGAAAAGCAAAGTGCGCAGCGAAGCACAGATTCACAACGAGTGCTTCTTTGGCCCATCTATTGGCTCGTAAGGTTAATCGACATTGCAACATTGCCGAGAAGA